CTGCTTTAAACAATCTTAGGTTAGATCTTTTCATTTTGGAAAGTTATTTGTCTTTCCTGCTTAATCTAAATCTGAGCCCTGGTGAGTTAATGTTGTGGTGCCTTCCCTTGCCCCCCAATACACAAACACTTTAGGGCATGCATGGTCATGTGACTTGATCAGACCTGATCAATCATTGGTAAGTTTTCTGGGAGGTGTTTCAAAGGAGGGGAGAGGAATACAAATCCTTGCCTATTCATCAGTCGTTCAGCATATTTGAGATATTCTTGGCATCACTAATCAGGACAATATATTTTACTAACCACAAGGATAGCAACCAAAATCAGGCAGCAGATTTATTCTGTCAGCAAGACGAAATCTTTATACAGTAAGGGCTGAATTATGCTAAAGATGCCCGGTAATGAAAGGTTATGAATGGAAACGGCTGAGAGAAATCAGGAAGGTAAGATAAAGAATCTCATTAATAAACAAATGGGGAACATGGATTAATGAACAAGCATGGCAACTTCCTTTAGCACATCTACATACTAGTAAACTATATACTACTACAACTCTCATTCTGTTTAACCATTTGCCTCTTTGTACCCTCAAGATAGCCCAAACATTGTACCATGTACCGTGACAAATTGTACATTGTACATTGTACCATGACAAATTTTCAGTCAAGTTATCTTAATTAAATCCACTAACATAAAAAAACACATTGGGGACCCACTACCCAGTGGAACTGAAGTTTTCACAATGTTCAGACCAGTTTTATTTGCAAAGTTGTGGCTGTTGCAGCAATCCCTGTGGGCATGTGATGATGATTTCTAATGCTCCCTGTAATGGTATATAGAAATGACCTCAAGGGCCCAGGAGGAGAGATGCTACCTAGGAAACAATGATGAGAGAGGGAGGATCTCTCAATGATGAGGAGAGGGAGTGGCTTAATGGTCAAAGAAAGAAACTTAGGAAGGATCCACCCACCCTAATGGATCAGATGGTTAATGATGGCGGCAGGAAGTTTGTAACCTCAGACTTGCAAGATTCTGTAGTCTAATTATAATACTGTAGATTTAGTTCATCTATTTCACTGTTTCCTGTCGTCCAGTTTCCCTGGGAGAGCTGATACTCCCTGACCGCTTCCCTTGAGCAAAGTCAATGGGGAAGCCATCAGGAAATCAGAAGCCACTCCTGCTCCTTCTGCTGTTTTGCCTGCTTGTGGTCAACTGATCAAAATGTTGTCTAATATCTACTAATATCCTTGCCTTTCCCTCTTAGGAGATCTCAAGGTTTGGAGCTTTTAAATATTTTTTTTATCCTACCTTCATTACTTGTATAAATAACTCAAGGTGGGAAACATATCTAATATTCCTTCCTTCTCCCATTTTTCCCACAACAACCACCCTGTGAAGTGGGCTGGGTTGAGAGCAGGGGTCTGGCCCAAACTCATCCAGCTGGCTTTCATGCCTACGACGGGACTAGAACTCACAATTTTCAGGCTTTTAGTTTGGTGGCTTAACCACTAGACCAAATAGATTTTAGTTACTGAGCAATTATTTTTATCCATTTCTCTTTTTTCTTGATCTTAACTGGTTTGTAGCTCTTTATGGCAACCTCCTAGAGACCTCGGTAGCTGGCAATATATAACTTCAAAATAAAATAGTTTTATTTGTATTTCATGTATTAAAAGCAAGTACTTTTCCTCAGTAAGAATATTTCCATCTGTGAAAAGCAAGGTAATATAAAATAGCCTCTTGTTATAGGCACAGACATTAAAAAAAGAACAGGGGGAAAGACATCACGCCTTCACTTCTGGAAAGAGAACGAAGATCTATGGGTGCTGGTGGTCTGTTCTCTAGGAAGGTGACGGGGTTTTGCATTAAAATTCAGGTTTTAAAAAATGTCTTGAATCTTCTCTCACATCCTTATGAGAAATGATGGCAATGATGCAAAGACTACATTTTTTTCATCTTTTAATTCAGGGATGCACCATTGTGGAAAACTGCACTTTAAAGCACATAGAGACACAGTCACACACAACCAATATATTTAATGTAGTTCTGAAGCACTTGGCTCTCCTCTTTTCTGAAGCTCTACTGTCCTCTACTGGTCAAAAGGAAAAAATTATAATGCCACAATCTTGCCTTAATAATCTATCAGTCTCAGCTTCTTTTCCAAATAATTGTTTTCTGGATTCTTGGTGTCAACCACAACCATTCATTCAGAATAAAAACCAGTTTGGAGATCTGTTTATAATAGAAGTTTTGGGGGCTCCATCACTAGAGGTTGGACAGCCATTTGTCTGAAATTGTATAGGTGCCCTGCTTGAGCAGGGGGTTGGACTAGAAGACCTTCAAAGTCCCTTCTAATTCTGTTATTCTGTTCTGTTGTATTAAAGGCCTTGAGTTGTTATGTGGCTGATTTTTGGATCTGTATGTACCTTCTGGATCCAACAGACCAGTGTTTCCCAACCTGGGCAACTTTAAGACATGTAGATCAAGTGAGATCAAGTGAGGTGCTAATACCACTCTATAAAGCCTTAGTAAGACCACACCTAGAGTACTGCATCCAGTTTTGGTCACCACATTATAAAAAAGATGTTGAGACTCTAGAAAAAGTGCAGAGAAGAGCAACCAGGATGATTAGGGACTGGAGATTAAAACATATGAAGAACAGTTACAGGAACTAGACCTGGCTAGTCTAGTGAAGAGAAGGACCAGGGGAGACATGATAGCAGTCTTCCAATGTTTGAGGGGCTGCCACAGAGAGGAGGGGGTCAAACTATTTTCCAAGGCACCTGAAGGCCAGACGAGGAATAATGGATGGAAACTGAACAAGGAACCTGGAAATAAGGAGACATATTCTGACAGAACGATCAACCAATGGAGCAGAAGTTGCCTTCAGAAGTTGTAGGAGCTTCATCACTTGAGACTTTCAAGAAGAGATTGGATTGCCATTTGTCAGAAATGGTGTAGGGTCTCCCGCTTGGGCAGGGGGTTGGACTAGATGACTTATAAGGTCCTTCCAACTCTGATTATTTGTCTGTCTGTTATATTTCAGCTCCCAGAATTCCTACACTGACTGGGGAATTTTGGGTGTTGAAGTCCACACATCTCAAAGTTGCCAAGGTTGAGAAACACTGCAACAATACACAGCATCATTTCCCTCCAGCATTCCACAGCAATTAACCATGACTTACCTTACAGAGAACATATTCTTATCAACTAATAATAAATCACCAACTGTTCACCAACAGGAAGTTCAATGAGCACTGGAAAAGAACTTCATGTTCCCAATTTGCTGCCCATTCCATACTTGCAACAGCAATTTCACACAGGAAGCAACCAATATCTAAGTAAGAATCACCACTTCACCTGCCAAATAAATAATTCCCCGACTGCAAGACACCAGTCACTGACAAAACAACAATGCTCATAGAAGCATCACATTGAAATATGTCAACCAATCAACCAACCAACCAACTCTTGGTCTGATGGAGTTACCTACTAGAGCAAGGGTACCAACATTGGCAACTTTAAAATCTGTAGATTTCAACTCTCAGAATTCCCCAGCCAGCCATGATTGGTTGACTAGGGAATTCTGGGAGTTGAAGTCCAGAAGTCTTCAATTTGCCAATGTTGGAAACCCATGTACTAAAATAATGAAAACTCTACAGCACAAGAGTTTTGTTCAGGCTCCTAGAACACCAATGATACAACATGGCAACCCTCAGCTACATAGCCGAGAAACCAGGTTATATTCCCTAATATGTCTCTTGGTAAATAATTTCCAAACTCAAAGAGATGGGCAAAAGTCAGGAAAATGAAACAGAACATCTCTTACCTCAGCATATTGAAATCTCTTTGCCTGAGAATTGAAGCCTATCTTTTCGGTGTTGGAAATCACTTTGGCATAGTATTTGAGAGGGATGGAAGAATAGGGTGCATCTAGGAAAGAAAATCAATGAGCATCAGGTGAGGATCGAGCAAACCCAGGTTCAAATTTCTGCTCAGCCATGAGCAGATGAATGTTCAATTTCAGCACTGTTAAGGAACTGCAGTGCCTCAGGATACCTGCCTACAGGTAGTCCTTGACGTACAATTATTCGTTCAGTGACTGTTCAAAGTTACAATGGCTTTAATATAAAAAAAAAACAATTACTTTTGTTTCTACTTGGAAACTGCTTCTGGACTTTCTGCTTGAAGTGGAAAAAATGTAACTTTGATTTTGGGTTTTACCGATTAGATTTGTTGTTACAGAAATGGCTAGTTTATACTACTATGTAAAAGTAAAAAGTTGAGTTTTTATATTACTATTTTATTCTACTGCAACAAAGAGAGTCAGAGTGTCTTTTCCTTCTTTTTCTCTTTTTTTTCCTACACTTTCCACTTACCTTTTCCCTCCCCTATTTTTCCTATTATTTGCCTTTGTATTTTTTAATTTTATATTATAAACTAATAAAAAGGGGGGAAATTATCTAAAAGGATTGGTTATCCCTTTTTTCAACGGCATTTAACTTTGAACGGTCGCTAAACGTATGGTCTTAATCAAGGATTCCCTGCACTAACGTCACATTACTACAGAAGTGGGATGCTACCGGTTCGGCCTGGTTCTATGGAACCGATAGCTCTGAAGAGCAGCAGACACCAAACTGGTTCGGTGTCTGCTGCTCTGTTTGGCCCAGCCACCTGCCTGGGCTCTTGGCTGTCCTTTATTTCCTGCTTTTTCAACCTCAGCGGCTTTGAACGGCACAGCTGAGGTTGAAAAAGCAGGAGAGAAGAGAAGTTTGAAACGTTGCGCACCCCCACGCAGCGCTTGTCAGCTGCCCGGGCAGCACAGCTGAGGTGTTTTGGAAAATGCTCTATACATACATGCAAAATGCACTCTCACAGGGGTGAGATTCTACCTGCCAGAGAACTGGCAAATCGCGCCTCTGGCTGGCCCCACCTCACCCCGCCCACTCACTCCTTACCTGGCATGCACGCCATCAAACTTGCCTGCTAAGTTGCTATTTTTCCTTTTTTTTTTTTTCCTGACCATCAACTGTTGTGGCAGGAGATTTGGATTAGCTAGAAAACAGGATATCCTTGGATATCTTGCTTTCTAGCTAATCTAAAAGCAGAGCTGAACCTTCCTTAGGACTGAAGCTTCTATTTTTCAGTGCAGACTCAGGTAGCCGACTGCAGAAGGATAGATCTCTGAATGAATCTGGGATTCTGTGAGCAACTCAATCTGCTTGCCTGCTTTGCCTCATTTTGGGTAAAAGTTGTTCTTTTTTCAATAAAAAAAATCAATATTTACTTAAATATTTATAATTTTTACATACAAGCCAGGCCCAGCCAGTCCAATGACCACCAAGCCGCACCCACAAATTAGGCTACACCCACAGAACTGGTTGTTAAGAAATTTGAATCCATCCCTGCATCACTATAATAGAAATGTAACTTATGCTATTCTGGTTTTCTTCAGGTAGTATAAATTTTTTGTTAGGGCAGACATAATCTTGGTGCAATGAATTAAGCTATTTCCAAAACTCCCCCACACTCTGGTCTGGCTTCTACCAGCACACCATTTAAATTCCATGTCTTACCTCTTTCTGTGTTGTCAGGAGTCAGATTCCGATTAGCAGAAGATTTAGTTGGGATTGGGAAGGTCTGAGACGACTTCATGTCAAAGTTGGTCTCTATGACAGACAATTATTGCAAACTTGGTAAGTGGATTCTTCTTCACTCCATCATCATGCTTCTAAAAACTGAGCACACACATCACATTATCACAACTAGGAAAGGTCAGAAAGGGAGCATTTTATATATTTATAATGTACTTAATTTTTATTATTTTTAATATTTCACTTTTTAATGTTTTTGATTTTGCTTTTACAATGTTGTAAACCACCCAGTCATCTGAGAGTGAGATGGACAGCATATAAATGTAATAAACAAAGACCTGTATTGTTTGTTTCTGTACTCTATAAAAAAAAGACTTGACACCCCCTCACCTTAATAAAGCTTTTCGCTTTGCCTGAAAGATTCATTACTCTTTGTTTTCAAGAGGGGAAAAATAAAAAGAAGCCACCTTCGCAAAGTTAATCTCTCTCCCAAATTCAGGGATTACATTTTTTTATCAGTTCCAGACCAAACTTGGAGCCTGAGTTGTAAAGGCAACAATGGAGCAGAGACAAAATCCAACAGATTTTCTGAGATAACTGTGATTTTTTTGTTTAAATATTTTGTTTAAATATTTGGGTCACATTTATGTCAGAAGGGTTTTGCAAGCTCTGCAGAAAAGGACCTTGGGGGCTGCCTCGGGTGGGCTGTAGGTCGCCCACCCATCTTAAGACTGCAGCTGTGGACAATATGCTCGTCATCTCTGCATGGACAGATTTATCTGGAAAAGGCCCCCTCCCTGTTGCCAATTGCTTACCTGGTTCCCAGGGCTTCCTCTAGGCGAGACACTGGAGCATGTATACAACCTGTTGCCCTAGGCAACCGGATAACAAAGGCGGCTCCTCCAATTCGTTCCATTCCTACTTCCACTAGCTTCCAAATGGACCAATCACAGAGCAGGTCTGTGGAGAAATCTTTTCTTCCAGGCTCAGTTGCTGGGCTGGGATGCTTCTCTTGGGAAAGCAGCAAAACAGTGATTTTTAAAAGGCATTTAATACGTAGCACTCACACTTTCCTATGATATATATATGATATGATATATGGTGTATGATGTATTGTGTTATATAGTATATTATTATATGGCATAATATACCATGCTATATATATCATATTTTATTGTATATCGTATCTTATTTTATTTATTGTCACATTCCACACCGCAGCTTCCATGTTCTTCTGTCTGGGCCTTTAAAATATCCATTCATCTAAATAGGCACTCACGTTGCCTCTGCAAAAACAGATAAAATCCTACTGATCCCAATAAAACAGTGGTTTCCTATTTTGTTTTTTAATCACGTGAATTTGATCCTAGACTTTCTCAAACTGGGTGATCAACTCAAATCTTATGGAACTAGATTTTTTTTTAACGCCAAATGACCCAGATATTTCCTGGGAGGGGGCAGTGTTTAAGGATAGACTTTACTGCTAAAAGGATTTGAACTGTGAGTGTGTTTTATAATTTGTATTCCCTCCTTCAGAGGCACATTGGTTTAATTAAGCCCTTTCTTGTTTAACTAATTGTTAAATAGTTCCTCCACAGGTTTCTTTTTTCCCCCGGTCATGTGTACCTTATTAGCAGAGAAATAGGGTCTCATAGGGTCTCCTCCTTGAGCAGGGGGTTGGACTAGAAGACCTCCAAGGTCCCTTCCTATTCTGTTATAGAACCTACTGCTAAACCTCAGCCAAGTTTGGCCACCTGACATTTGCCCCACGGCCACTAGAGGCCGCCCAACCCAAGTTTGGCCACCTGACATTTGC